GTCTATGGTTTTTATGTGTGGCACACTTAGTCAAATATGAGAAACTAAAAGGTGAAGACATATATAGACACCAGTCAGGTTTCCATTGAAGCATGGTGCACTTGTAATTTTATTTATTTATTTATTTTAATTTCCATACAACTAGCAAAAGAAAATACACGTGCACTGCTATCCACTACTTGGATGACAGTATGAGTTGAGTGTTTCGAGGGAAACAGTTGATAGTCTTAATTCTCCAGTTGGCCACGGTAAACTGTAGTGGAATCTCCAACGTTATGGAAATATAACACTTGTTTTATGCATTAATTCCACAGAGGCAGCCGTCTCCCCATCGGTCCACACAGAACTGATAGTCACAGTCATTCGGCTCTCCTGTGGAGCAGAAGCACCACCGGCTTTGCTTTATGATTTGTTCGCTGTTTTTTCACCTTGACCAAGCATGAAAACTTTGATGTGAAGTTTGTATTTTGTGTCTTTCTAGTAATTTTTTATTTTTTTATGGAGCAAATTGTCAAAAACACGTACAAATAGGTGGATGGAAATGAACGCTCTGCCGCGGTGTGACAGGAAACGCATTATAGTGTATTAATTGAGCACAATAAGAGTGTGTCATCACATCAGCCTCAGTACACACAGATACTGTAAATTAGAACAAGAAAAAGAAACCTATTGAGAGAGTATGTTGACCTTAATACTGCTGTCATGGTCCACTTTACAACGTTACAGTCTGTGACTGATTTTAAGAGGTATTATTTTTGTTTACTAAGTGTTCTGCTCAGGCTTTTGCTTTGATGGGCCACATACTGTGTTAATGCGTGAAGCCACGAGAAGACAGTTGCAATGTGTTTTTACTGTTTTCTTCTGAACAAAGCTTTGCAGTATGATGGTCCGAGACGTCATTACATTTCCATCTCTTTCTGTTGTTGTTTTCTTGGCTAATATGAAACAAATGTGTACCATCCACAGATGAAGCTGCCACTTTAAAATCAGATTTATTTTCTTATTCTGTTTGCCTGGTCACTTGTGTGTTTGCTGTAATTTGAACACTTATTTCATGTCGTAATGCTTGGAAATAAAAAAAAAGGCCAAAAGCTGCAGTCTGTGTCCCATTTGGATTTTCACTGTATTCTTGAATGGGCACAAAATAATAAAACTGTTTAATTTGCTTCTTATACAGTCAACGTTTATAGCCCCGAGGACTTTTGTGCTGTTTTGGCCAAAAAAAAAGAAAAAAAAACCTGAAAAACAACTGACACATTGATTAAATTAGAAGCAGTCGGGGTTGTTTTTATGTCATTAAGGCTTGAATGCCATTAAAATGAGCTCAACAGGTCATTTCCAAATGGCTTTGATTGTCGTGCATTCATGTAAAATCTGTCACCCTGGAACTGTTCAGCTCCGTAAAATGTGCTCACATCACCTTCTTCCTTAACGTGCTCCAACATCGATGACATGCACGGCAGAAACAAGCTGCCGATCGTCGTTGGAGGGACAAATTACTACATCGAGTCTCTGCTGTGGAGAGTCCTGCTGGATACAGGGGTGAGTGTCATCGACTCAAATACACCTCGCCTTGTCCTTTATGCCTCTCTGATGCTGTTAATCTCATTAATGTGTTAATGTCTTATTATCTTCACCCCCCCCCTCTAAAAACAACCTTAAAGCACCGTGTATGCAGCTTCCACAGCATAAAGATAATGTAATATGAAAAATGGGCCTTCAGCTTAACTCAATGGCTGCCAAGATATGAATTTTAAAGGCTGTGTCTTCATCCTGCGTAGTCATTTAATGGTAATAAAATTGCCTAGAGGTACTTACGCTGGTCTTTATTTCTGTTTGCATTGTGTGTTCTTGTAGTTTATTTCTGACCCAGAGCACTGTTCGAAAAGAACCTATTAATTTATGGAAGCAAGAAGTATATGTTCAATAAAATGTGTCACACAGCAGGAGAACGAGGAGTCAGGGAACGGAGGGGACGAGTCTCCAGACAGGAAGAGGGAGCTGGAGAAACTGGGAGGAGCTGAGTTACATAAGCAACTGGCGAAGGTGGACCCCATAATGGCTGCCATGTTGCACCCCAATGACAAGCGCAAGATAGCCAGGTGATGCAGCCGGCAATGTCTTCATGTGTTTGTGTTGCACTGGATATCTGTCTCAATTAAATATGTGATGGCGATGTGAGTTTTCAGCTCAGAACTGTCAGGGGCGAACTCTGAACCTCTGGGGGTGTCTTGTGGTATCTTGCGGTGTCTGGCACTGAGATGCTGGCAGCACGTTCCTTGGGTACACTGAGTTCTGGAGTGGGATCTTCGTCGATCGGGTTTGTTCCATTGCAGCCCATGGCTACTCGATCAGATCAATATCTGGGAGGTTTGGAGGCCAGGTCAATCCCTTGGGCTCTTTCTCGTGTTCCTCGAGCTGCTCCTGAGTAGTTTTTACAGTGTAGCGCAGTTGTTTTCCTGCTGTCGCCATGAGGGGCCTCTGCGTGATCTTCAACAGTGTTTAGACAGGTGTAGTAACCATAGACTGTATAAAAGATGGACGTAGCTACCGTGACGTCACCCGTTGGTTTCTGCACTGAGAAAATGAAGCCAGGGTTTTGCTACTTCCTGGTTGACATCTTGGATTTTTGGAGCCAGTGACGCAAAAATCGTGGGAGGGGGGCGGAGCCATAGGAGCAGCGATTGGTCAGACGGATTGAGAGGCGAGCCCTCTCTGCCCGCCCACATTTACCACCTTCTGCTCGCTTCATCTGTATGGTCGCTGCTGACTGTCAATCAAGCCAGCCACGCCCCTTGCCCCACAAAATGTTGACGATTTTTTAAAAATTCAATATTGATTTATTTTCAGATTGGCCACCTGATCTCTGGATTTGACCATGAAAACTAATAAGAAAAAGATCCTGAGCTGTAGGAATGCTGTATTTCGTGATCTGTGATCACTTCTTTTCCAATTTCCAAAAAAGTCTGTGAGGGCCAGGGCTTTTTTGGAGCCAGGACTAGTGGACGTAGGTTTTTGACACTTCTGGGTTGGCTTCATTTTTCAGGGCCGGTTGCTACGTCCATCTTTTATACAGTCTATGGTAGTAGCATCCACATGAATGTCAGGAACTAAGGTTTCCCAGCAGAACTTTCTATAGTAATGCGATGTTCAGTGTAGTTCATGGATTCAATGAGGTGGCTGACCAGTGTATCACATATCTGTACCATTATTGTTCCATGTTAGCCACCTGTTGTGTCACAGCTAACATTCTGCTAGCTTGGTAGATGGCTAATAGGAAAACAAACACTTAAAAACAGTTTTGAAGAGTGCCACTGGTAATGTTTAAACCTTGTGGTGCGAAACTAAAAACTGCTGGTTTAAGGATAAGCTACAAGCTAAGCTAGCTAACCCATAACGTGTACTCTTTTTGCACATTATGTGTAATAACCATGCTTCCATGAAAGTGGCTACACCAGACATGTGAGCAGCATGTAAGGACGGTGCTGTCTGCATCCACGAGGGTCTGTGTGAAGTCGCTTACATACAGATGCAATCCCTTTGCACATGTTTGCATGCAGGCGACTACGACACAGTTGTAGTTTATGCACAGAATACATGCAGTATGACCCACTGAGCATGTAAGGAACCAACCTTCTAAGCGGACCCAAGGGATTGGAAAAGCAGTATCATAACAAGTATAGGTTGTCTACAGCTATTCATGTGTGCACTGAAGTTTTACAAGGAACGCAACAATGACATGCTCCAAAAACCCTTTATTCTAATGGCCTGTGCCATGCAACAACAGTTTGCCACTGGGCTGAGGGAAGTGCGTGAGCAGTGCACCGTTCAGCCAGTTTGCGAGCCTGCAGCGTTACGACATATACGTACGTGGCCAATAGAAACAAGGCATTTCAATGTTGAGATTTTCCTGCTGGAAAGGAAGAGGCTCCTCGACTCCCGAGATTGAGTTTGAACCCAGCAGTGACCAAGACGCAAAGCTTGTTCCGTCTGTGATGTGAGGTGTAAATGGGCATTTTTCACAGAAATGGCTCATATGTCAGTATTTTCTTTAAATCAAACTGCTGGTGTACAGGAAATGAAGGAACTCTTGTTCACCACCTCGACATTTGTTGGCTACTATCTACTATAGTCTGCAGTGGAAATGGCAAATGGTCTGCACTTAAAAAGAACCTATTAACCTTTAACCTCTCACTCAGTAATGGCGGACGAGCAGCTGGGCCATTGAGAGCAACTGGTGAAAATGAGATGTTGAGGTGTGGTCATACTTTCTTGCTGTGTTGTGCTATTGAGTTGTGCATTATCCTAAAGACCCCCTTTTGTGAAAATTGAGCTGTTTACATTGTTGCTGTGAAGCCACGAGACACATCACGAGTGTCATAATCAGTCGACACCATGGCTGAGCATTTCCATCAGTGCAGCGTTGCAATTAGTCTCAAAAACACCGATTCAGACTTCCAGGGTTTCATGCAACCTAAGAAACTAGGGGAAGGGATTATATTAATGGGAGAAAGCTTTTAAATCTGTAACTCTGATGCCCAGAGGGACTTTAAGAGTTATGAATTTTCTTTATCAAGCCATTAATAACAATTCTAATCTTTGTTTTGTCCCCCATTGAAACACACTTAGCGTTAAATCCACAGGTGCATTACATCAGTGTGAGTTTCAGCTTCGGGGTATGACTGTGTGAAGTGCGTTACTTGTTTGTGCATCAGAATTGGATTTTCTCATGTTTTGTGTGAGATCCTGAAGGGCTCATGCTCTTTCTCAGGCTGACAGTCACAGAATGCAGCCGGGGAGTGTCATTTTACACACACACACACACACACACACACACTGCTTGATGAGTAGCAGTATGCTCTCTGGTCTTTTGTGTGAGCAGGTTAGGTTACCCTGTTCTTTAAGTTGACAGGAGACGACAGGAATCATCTTTTCCTCATAACCTCAGCGTGCAGTCAGGCATAACTAAAGCGTCTGGTTTGGATTTAAATCTCTCTAAAAGTTTCTGTTGCTCAGTTTGAATGTAGACTGTGTCCTGGTGAGAAAAAAAACAACAACAATATGATTTCACACAGTAGCTGTTGCTTTCCTCGATCATAGTTTATATTTCCTCTTGTTTTATTTCTTTATTTGTCCTCGGGGTGTGTTTCTGGTGCAGCAGTTGTCAACATTCGGTACTTTACAACGAGACTCTTAATTTGTATCTCGCAGGGGGAGTTGGAGGTTTTCATTTACATTGGATTTAATGGATGAGCGGGTGGTTAAATCATCTACTGTAGTCTCAGTTTGCCCGCCGAGGCCGTGACACTCAGGGAGTGAAATGTAACCGCTTATTACACGAGGATCACACTGGTTTGTATAAAACATGGGAGGGAAAAGGTTGTGTTTGCAGACTGTTCCGGTGTAAAATGTGGGTTTTTATTTAACCGTAGCATCTCTTGCTTGTCGTCTCCAGGAGTCTTCAAATCCACGAGGAGACGGGGATCCCCCATAGCCGCTGGCTGGAGGAGCAGAGGGAGCAGGAGGGAGGCAGTGGGCTGGGAGGGCCGCTGAGATACCCAGATCCCTGCATCTTCTGGCTGCATGCTGACATGGAGGGTGAGGAGGGAGACTGCCATTCATTGTAAAAGAAAAAGACACAGAAATGGAGCTATGAGCACTTAGATGCAGCATAAAACTAGCATTTTGGTGTGTGTGGTTTAACTTTCATGCTGAATTTGTTTTCTAGCTCTGGACAAGCGGCTGGATGATCGCGTGGATGAGATGTTGTCTGCGGGACTAATACAGGAGCTCAGAGACTTCCATAGCCGATACAATCAACAGAAAGTCCAGGAAGACAGGTCAGGAAATGAGCCACAAAAAACACTAATCAGCCAGATCCTGGCCATCCTGAACTAATCGTTTTTTACAAATGTCAAAGTTTGTCATGTTTCTGTCTGCATAGTTGTTTTACTTAACGGCCAATTCATGCTTTCTGCATCCACAAGGGTCCGCAAGGATAAACGTGACTGATATGGTGTCATCTATCCAAGTTTAGGAGGGTCCATAAGGCCCTTTGTGGATGTCTGCATTTAGCCTAAAATGTACTCAATGGAAGCACAGCAGCTGTATATGTGCCAGGAAAAGGACTGTTCAAAGGGAAAAGGTGTTTCAATTCATCATTAGAAGACTTTGGTGGTGCCGGATTTATATATAGTTATCATCAGCGGTGCCCAAGTACGGTGGAAAGTTGTAACTCTCCAGATACACCTGTGCTCTTTCCACACACCTCAGGAATAAGCAGGCTGTAGTCCAATCTGTAGCTGCTCCATCCTGTAAAAAGGCCCAGCTGGCCTTCAAGGAGCCTTGTGTGGTTTTCTATGTTTGATAAGAGGAAGAAAGTGAACCTGTTGTGATATGACTTTACTGTTTTGAAGTCAGTGCAAAGGGATGATTACACTGTTACTGGCCTTCAGAAGAAAGAAAGAAATCTGGTTTTTGGAATGTTACTTCTAATATTTTTACTGCAATAATCATCTTGTCAGAGAAAGTGCCATGTGATGGATAGGTTTCATGTATTTAATACCTGCAAAACTGCAGAACAGGCAACGTCATCCTTTTTACTCCGCCTGTTTTCCTTCCGTGTTTAAACCTGGTGCCCACATTACCCACAATGCAACCCAACCACCGACAATTCAGTTGGAGATTCGCGTGTGTTATTCTAGCAGCGGCTAATGTGCTTGAGTGGTTGTCCTCAAGCGGAGATCAGGCAGGCGGTGGAGGTCTGCTGAGCTCCCTTGTCTTCATCTCCACCCGCCTGCAGATTTTTCATTTTAAACTTGTAGTCTCCAGCCCCAACCGACGTGGACTCAGGTGACATCGCTCGAGGCGATGTATCACACTTGACACGGCTCCCTCAAAAGGCTTTATGCAGCTTTTTATACATATTCAGTAGTACTCCCCAAGACCTGTAAACAGACTTTGATGTGTAGAATTGCCGCAGTTTCCCTTTAGCACCCACGAGGAACGTCCTCCCTTCTCACAGCCAGGACGTGCCGATGTGACTTGTGTTTTTAGCGCTCTTATTTTCCTCCTTTATTGCTGCAAAATCAACTAGTATCCAACTCATCAAAAGCAGAATGGGAGTTGTTATCTGTGCCAAAACCTAATGGGTTATTTGTGATATTGCTGCCATTGAGAAGACGGCTTGACGGTGTAAATGTCAGAGTCACACGGGTTCAGCGTGTGCAACAAGTTCACCATCACATTCTCAATCCTCCTATCTAAATTAATGATCAAGACACTCAGTCTAGAGCCAGAGTTACCTCCTATCTTCATGTAACCAGGGCAATAGGAGTGAACTGAAGCAGCTATCCAGTTATTTATTTCTCCTCCCCAGTCTGACAGGTCACTCTGTTCTGTGTGCTGTTGTTTCCCAGTGGCCCAGAGATGGATTTAGATCCAGCCCACGCTGTGGGGAGTTCAGTTCAGATGGGACTGATATTTCTTTAGGATGTGCAGTGATTATTAATAATTGCAGCGATAAGCCCCCTCTGTACCACATTAGCATTACCATGGGACTCTGTTGATCTGTGCTTATTGCCTCAGGGCCTCAGCAGTTTTAACTCCGCGCTGAATGGACATTATGGTGTCCCCAGAACAAATTACATACAGTACAATGCTTTCTGTTTGAGATGCTATTTAAAGATAAAGATCATCAAGATTAGTACTCTATCTTTTACACAATTACCAACTTCAGTCTGATATTTACTTAACAGTAAGCACATGATCAGTAGCGTGCTGCGTCTGCATCACTCCTTCAGTGGTATATAGCCACTGTTTCCTGGACTGTGAGTGCAGGGTTTTTCCTGCATAAGGCGTTTTTGAGGCACCCCAATGAGGCATTTTTAAGCTAATTTATTTTTATTGGAACCCCAGTGACACTAATAATTAGAAAACTGCTGAATTTCTGATCCAGATCAGTTTTAGTCAGCGCCAAGAAATCACCAGTGGCAAAGTAATATTGAAATGCCTTTTTAAACCAGTTCTGTTAATTTGGGTTTTATTAAAATGAATTAAATAGATTTTCTTTTCTTTCTTTCTTTCTTTCTTTCTTTCTTTCTTTCTTTCTTTCTTTCTTTCTTTCTTTCTTTTCTTTTTTTTTTTTTTTTAGATCAAATGGTCAGAAATAACAGGAAAATGCATACATTTCTGTCAAATAGGGCTTACATAGCTAGACCTATCCACACGACGCTGTGTCAGCACTGAAGAACAGTCTGACTGCACTTCATTTTCATTCTCCTACGGTGGAAAACAACGCTCTGGCTTGTTTGTATTTCTTTATACCAATCACATTCCCCTTGGGTGGGGCTAAGCCTAGAATAAAGTGTCAGTATCCCTGCAAAAAAGGAATTTGTGTAAATGGAACATTTGCACATGTGGAGCCGAGCACTGCCTTTAAAACTGCTAATTCCCCAAAAGAACAGAGCAGGTCTTGGTTCAGGAACGAACCAAATATCTGGATTTGGATTAAAACCTGCCATTTTCAGCATGCATTCCCATTGTGATAGGCGTTTTGAAAATGGTGACACACAGATACTGGAAGGGAAGGAAGCTGCGGTGTATGTGTAATGGCAGGCTGATACCTCAAGTCTACATCCAGTAAGTCAGACTGAGGCAGCACAGACTCACTTCGCTGAACGTGGACTGATCATGCTTACTGCTGTGGGTGGTCGCCTCCCAAAGGCCCATTCTGAGCCAGCATAAAAAAAAAACCCTGCAGTGATGTTATGTGACGATGTCTCTTGGTTACCATGATTCAGAGGCAATTTTGTCCATTTCTGAATGTGCCTCAAAATCGAACTGCTGACCTCATGTGGTTATATTATGGCGGGTCTCTGACTGTCCCCCTGTCTGAAATTTAAAAGATTTTTTATTTTTTGACTAAAACTGGGTTAATAGGGATTGTGCCAGTTCTACATGATGAGTCACATACATTCATACGGGATGAGGAATAGCAGAGTTCACCAGAATCACAGCAGACTACAGAAGACAAAGAAGATGACACCTCATGTGATGATCGTGATAGGTTGGCTGCAAAGCTAACGATTACTATGCTACGAATAAAATTAAAGTCAAGTGGACACACACAAGAATGCCACAAGAATAACATTAAAGTTGTGTTTTCTCTACGGGTAGACCAATTATCGGCCTTGCTAATTATCTGATCCTTTATTCAGCTTTTTTTTTTCAGATTATTGCTTTTGTTTTTCAAACCGATTCCCGATGAAGTTCATTTGAAAATGTGTTGGTTCTGATGCGGCTGCCTCTCCCTGTCTGTAGTCGCCACTCTGCAGTCTTGAGCAATCTCCCTCCATCAGCACTATCTGATTGGTTGCACATCACAAGCGATAACCGATCAACAGCGCGCTTTCGTGTCGGACTTTGTGCTGGATTTTCATTTTTCCTGCTGATACATTTCAGTTCCAAATATTGTTAATTGGTCTCCATGATTGCTAATAATCACCGTCGGTATTGCTCCAGAAAAAAACACATCATCAGTCGACTTCTAATTTTCTCTTGTTAATTGCCACAGTTGACGGTGCCGTTGTTTTGAGCAGAAGAGAAACAGACGTAATAATGTTAGATGAGAACGAGACAGTTGTCAGCAGATGAAACAACTGGAATGAGTTTCCTTTTTTCACTTCGACACATTGGGAGCGTGCAGCACTGGAAGAGGTTAAAGTATCAGCAATTGTCCTTTAATTATTACCCGCAGACAAGATGCCGTGATTGACGTTTCCACTGACGAGCACACAGCTATCGATTCAGCAAATTTTTTTACTTTTCACGACAAGCACTTTCTTTGGCAGGGACGTATCCTCTGTTACCTCCACCGGGACATTTTTTAGACTTCGCTGTAGCACCTGCCTACTCACCATATGGTGCAATGCGAGAAGGAAAATTGCATTAAATTGTAGTATCTGGTCTGTTTTATTCACTTTGGCATTTTGCCGGATTTCTCGTTTTACAACTTTACACACGTTCAAAATTTGTGTGGATTGGAATGTGCCGTTCATTGTTTTTGCAGCTACGGGACAAGCATTTACACATGTGTAGTAACAAATATTTAGATTAGTTTGCAACATTTAAAGCTCCTCTGAAGCAGACATGTGAGCGCTGCTGTCTCTTTTGGCAGCAGATATCGATGTTGTATGTGTGTGATGGGGTGTGGCTGCGGGGAGTTGATGCATTGGTGGAACGGTGCCCAGGAAGCTGCCAGTTTCCCTTCTTTCGTCCCTCCTTCCTTTCATCACCCCATCCCACCTCATCAGCCAGCCTCCTCCTCCTCCTCTTCCTCCTTCTCCTCCCTCCATCTCTGCCACTATTGCCCTCTCAGCAATCTGATCAGCCGTGCACTTTACTCCCCCCCCCACCCTGTCTGTCTTTCTCTCCTTTACCCTCATGTCTCCATCCCCGGCTGGCTGCTGTGGCCAGACATCAAGGTCAAATCTCTCCCTCCCTCCCTCCGTCTTTCTTTTCCTCCCTCCATTGACTCTACATTTCCTGTGCTCTGTCGCTATTCTCAAATTTCTGTCTGTGCCCGTCTAGTCAGATTTATTTTTGTTATTTCCTCTACTTGTTTCTCTTACAAGTGTATAAATTAGGGAGCTAAAATAGTCCTTTTTTTTTATTGTTATTATGATGATTGTTCACGAGAAAGGAAACTGGATAAAAGAAATTCTATAATCTAAATAACACTCTTGTTTGCGTTTCAGCGTGGTGACCTAAACCCGTATAGCAACACGGGTCATTGTGTCTCCTCCGTTTCTCTTTGCTGCCGGCTGGTAATTTGGTTGTACTGAATGTTTGTTCACCTGCCAAACAGAGGATTAAAAATCACAACAACTGAGAATCGCCGCAAACTGCGCAGCTTGTTGTGCAGCGCTGGATTCAGCAGTGTTGTCTGATGAAATGCAATGAAAATGCAGGAGTGTTTTCATCCACTAATCATAGAAGACATATAAAAAAAAAGGATTCTTTATAACTTAGACCTCGTCTTATATTATCAAAGGGGCAAAATTATGTAATTTTTTTATGTAGTGGTCAATTCTGGGTGATCTGTTGTAGACTTGTGTCAGGCTAGGGGAAAGAAAATATCCAGAATACACAATAAATGTTTATTTTACCACATTTTGTCCATTGGCGGTATGTAAATGAGTGCATATTTATCGACAGCATGCTTTATTTGCATATATAAACACACCATTTTTGGAATTTACAAAGAATAATTGTCCCAAGGGACCTAGTCTGAGAGGAGTTTAAATGGCAAAGTCTGTAAGTTTAAAATTTTACCCAAACAGTGGTTTCAAATGTTAAAGAATAATTATTTTGTTTTTTTTTTTCTCAAACTCTCAGCCAGAAATCTTTCCCTCAGTAGCACTAACAAACAGTATTATCTGATTTATGAAGTCATGATAGGAGATATCTAAAATATCCTCTGTTAAAACTTTTGACTCTAACATGTCAACAATTGGAAACAAACCTTTTTTTTTTTTAGTCTAATGTTCAGATTTTTTGTTTTGGAAATGGATTCAAATGCTGCCATTTTTTGATATTTAGTACCTCATATCGTTAGCCTCATAGCATAATTGCCTACGTCATTTTTTGGTCAAATTGAGATATTTGCCTAACTTTACTCTCCTATCACTTCTGCATCATCCTGTCTTTCTACCTATGTCATTGGCCAATCACATCTGGTTGAATGTAATGTTAAAAAAAATCAATAATAAATACCAATGTCATTTCTAAAAATTGTGTTTTTTCTCATTTCCCAAAAACATGAAAATATGACTTAGGCAAGTATGCTATGAGGCTAACGATATGCATATTTAAATATTTCAGAAAGCTTATGATAGCAAAATATCATATTGTCATTGTAAGAAATCAGTTGAGTTTCATGTGCGTGAATTAGGTTGTTATGTATAGTATTTGTTATTGTAGTTTATCCTCCATAACTTCTCATCAGGATTTGTTGTGTTGTGCAGGATAAAGCTGTACCTCAGCACTACAGTGTTACAGAATAGAATAGAAATACATAGTTGTAGCGGCAGAAAGACAAACTCCACCACAGTCTTTGTCTCTGAGTCTGAGATTGTCAACCACACCACGCACACCAACAGTGGATCTATCAGTGTGATCTGAAAAAGTACAGCTTCGGCTTGAACTGGCAGCGCCGCTCAAATCACAGTGATGCGGTTTGACGTTGACTGAAGCGATCCGGCTCTGCTGTCTGGCGACTTAACTGGCGGGATTCTGCCCCAACCTCGCTCCGGTCACCCCACCGAGCCTTAGCACCTGTGGGTCCCTCCGTCTGTTTTTTTTTTTTTTTTTCTTAATGTCATTCTGTCACTTTGTCCCCCGAAGGGCCTCACATCTGCTCAGACTGATATTCTTTGTTCGGGGGAGGGAAGGGGGAGATAGAGGAGGAGGAAAAGGTGAAATGAGTCACCACCGGGTGTCTATAAATGTCAAGTTGGAGACAGAAACTTTTTATATTGATGGATAATGTTTCCTCTCCTCTCCTCTGCTCCTGCTCTCCCCTCAGTCAGGACTATCAACATGGGATTTTCCAGTCGATCGGTTTTAAGGAGTTTCACGACTACCTGACTGCCCCTGAAAGCAGCACCCAGCAGGAGAGAGACACGCTACGAGACAAAGGTCAGAGAAATACCTGATCAAAGTCACTGAGATGGATTTAGATTCACGGGTTGCTGGACTGGTTGACTGATCAACCAGAAGAATCTAGTTAAGGATTTTTTTTCCTCCCTTCTTGTCTCTGCTTTAACTATAACTGCTTCCTTTTAACTCTGTCCAGGTATCGAAGCTTTGAAGATCGCTACAAGGCGCTACGCCCGCAAACAGAATAAATGGGTCCGAAATCGCTTCCTTAAACGTGAGTGCTGGTCTATCCTCATGCAGTTTGTGTTTTTGTGTGTGTGTGTGTGTGTGTGTTTTTGTGTGTGTGTGTGTGTGTGTGTTTGTCCTCTGCAGTCCAGTTCCTTAGCGATCAGCACTCTCTTTAACAAGATGAGATTCATGTACTCCATTAGACACACAGTGAGATTCTCAGCCTCCGTGCTGAAGGCAAAGGTCGGATGTGTTCATATTCATCTGTTTTAAAATGCATTTTTTTGTTTGTTTGATTTTAATCTGCCATTTAGAGCTAAAGTCTCGATCCATCCATTGACTAAAATTACAAAAAAAAAATTAAACTAAATTTTTAAAAGTTTTTGTATATCTGGCGTTATAACTGTGCCAAACTGAACCAAATACTTTTTTGAGTTCCCTCTACTTCTACACATGGTTGTGCTGTTTTCTTAGTGAAAAAGAGCCAACGAGAAACACTCAGATAGTACTTGGGCTTCAGAGGGTTAAAGTGACTTAGATGCAGCTCTACATGATGTGAAGATCGTCCTCAAATGTATTCGTACCCTTCCTTTAAAGAAAAGGCAAAATTCACATAACTAGAAACTAAAAAAAAGTAATAATAAGTAAAAATTTGCTAAATTATAATTTAGTGAAATAAGACATTGCTTTTGAATTGTGGTTGAAAAGAATAATTTAAAAAAAATAAAAAATAAAACTGTCCCAGACAAATTAGAGCACTTTGCTGATGAGCAGTGGGCCAGAATCTAAATACCTGTCAACAGGTGCAGAAGTCTGATTGGGAGTTACAGAAAACACTTGATGGCAGTGATTGGCTCAAAGGGTTGTTCAACAGAATATGAGTTTACAGGTCCCCATCATGCTTGTTTACTTTTTTTATTTTGTTTTTTATTTTTGATACATTCCTATTGAACCACAATTCAAAAGCAATATTCATGATTTTTATTAATGTTTTATTTATTATTACTTTTGTCAATTTCAGCTGATTTCAATGACAGCTGCTTTTTTCCTTCTTTAATGGGAGGTTATGAATAAATCTGAGGACGACTGTATGAAGTCTAATTACATTTTTCATTAAGCTCTTTACAATTTTTAAAATTTCTTTCAGAGAAATAGTTTAATGTGAAATACACCTTTTCACTTTCTTTCTGACAAATACATGAGAAAGTTGTTGCCACAGTTAAATATGAAGCTACAGCTAACCCGGATTAGCATACAGAGTGGAAGTACAGAGAAACAGCTAGCTTGAATGTGTCACAGCTAAAGCCATATCCTTAATCAACACATTGTGCCTTGTTTGTTTATTCCTTGCAAAAACAAACAAACCCAAAAAAAAAAATAAAAAATGTAGACACAACAAATTGTGGTGTTCGGCTAGCTGTTCCCGCTACTTCCTGTCTTTATGCTAAGCTACGTTAGCTATCTCCTGGCTGTCGTTCCATATTTATCTTAGGAAAAAAAGCAAATAAACATTTTAATAGCTTATTTTGTTTGATCCTAGCGTGATGGTTTGGAAACATCTGATATACGTGAACAGTGGAAATGACCAGATTAACTTATTCACTGGAACAAAGTTGGGCTTTGATTTTATGCAGCGTGTGTTGAGCTGCTGTGACGTCGTGCGGTGGATAGTATTTCAAGATACATCCCCAGTAGACACCTGCAGCTAATGCTTTTTTTTTTTTTTCCCTCAGCACTAAGTCCCCGGTGCTACTAGATGCATAGAAATGAACTCCAGTGTTTGGTTACCTGCCAGGAGTAGCTGGCACTGCAGAACGGACAAATGTGCCCAACCACAGCCAAAACCAACCTGTGTTTGGCAGGTGCTGATATTCCCACCCTGGTTGCAACCTCCATATGTGTTTTAAAATGTCCAGAAAGGCTGAGTGTGTTGTCTGTTTCCCAAAACGGAAGCCTGGCCTCTCTGTAGCACCAGCAGCATGCCCTGCAGTAACCCAGCCTTCTAATCCTGTTAGGCCCAAGTGGCTTAAGGCCACGCCAGGCCCTAAACCTCAATACCCCTCTTTCTGAGCGCCTGCCTACCCGCTGCACACACCATATGGCCTTCATCACATGTGTGTGTCTGTCTGTGTTGCTGTTGTTTTACATGTGCGGTAATCTGTCTGTGTTTTTTACGCATGCATGTCGCTTGAAGACTCTGAACGCTCGGTTCCCTGTAACGTCGGACTTGGAAGTGCAGCAGATCAGATCAGCTCTTAAAACACTCAAAGTTTTTTATCTCGTGAAGTCTCCCGGGAAATACTTAGTGTGCTGTCTGTTTGTTTATGATATTCATCAGCCCGGATCTTACTCTGAATTTGTACGTTTTTGTGACGGATGTTCGTGAAAAAAAACACATTTTACCTGCCAGGTTGTTGAAATGCACACTCAGCAAGAAAAATGCTAATCGGGGCAAAGAGCACGAGCCTCCTACAGCATTTCAAAAATCATCGAAAAGAGTTTTTCTTTTAGCCAGACTCAAAGTAAACATGAAAAGCAGTCCCTTGGAAATATGTGTAGCTATTGTAGTCACTGCTTTTTAGTTCACTGCAGTCGCTCCAGGGGTTTCCAGGGAGATGCTTCAGCTTTTTTATTTATTTATTTATTTTAAAAAACGTGATTGACAGTTATCCACAAAAAAGCTTGACCGTACAGGTGGCAGCAGAGGAGGTGAACTCAACATCTGAAACTTTGCACGTCTAGAAGTTTTTAAGGACACTGCACAAAAGTAAAGTGTCCATGTCTGTTCTGTTGTGTTTGCAGAACCTGCAGGAGTCTCTGAGGTCTTTGTCAACCTGGACTTTAGTGGGCATTTGGTCCAAAAACAATGGTGTATTTTTAAAACAACTGCAAGGCATTGGTGGTTGTGTGTTGCTTCAGGTATTAATGAGACAGAGAAATTCAGTCCTGGATGTCCAATAACAGATCCACAGTTTGAAGGACTTTTGATTCTCTGTGCAGTGGGTTGAGATATCTTGAGGAAGGATTTGCTCTTTGGACAGATAAATAGTGCGAAGAAGGCCTTCATGTTACCAGATAATCTGCCAGGAATGTGCACTTGCATGTTTTTAATTAGATAATGCACAGTCTTGCTGGATGACTTTGCAGTAAATGTTGCTTTACTGCTGGATGTTTGGGAAATGTGGACATTTTGGAAATTTCTCATGTCAGGTGTGTGTGTTTTGCTAATCTCTGCAATGGAAATAATGGGTGAAATGTTATCATACTGGACAGAAATATGGGAATACCACCCAGGTTGACAAATGCAGGAGTTGTTACATCACATACATAGTCTCATGTTACTCTAATTTCTATTTCTTCAGGGGTTCTTGAACGTTTTGCTGAAGGACGGCCTGTTCTTGCGACCGCTCCTGTCCTGTCCTCGGGTTTTTGCTGTTTAACCTCGTTCACCCCACCTTTCTGTCCTGCGTCGTCTCTGTTTACCGCTCTGTCTTGCCGTGACTGCTGACCTCCTTTCTTTTTCATCCGAGCCCCACACACACGCTCACACAGATGCCGGCAGGCCTCAGCTGAGCAGGCTAATCTCTTGAAGCGTTACATAGCGGCTGGGAATTTGCCCCGACCACACAAACTCAGGGCGCAGGGTCGCCCAGGTCCACGCGAAGCAACTCGAGCGTACAGTGACTAGTGGGTCAAAGGGAAAGATGAGTTGAAAACGACAGACACGTTAGAAGAGCTACAGAAATGACCTGATGGTTGACTCCACGTGCAAATATACAGAAAGAGGCAGGATCGCATGCCTCGAAGGCACAACTTTAACCCAGTTTTACAGATCACAGTTTAAGCATTTAGTAGCGAGCAGGTGGGCGTTCAGTCTGTTAAACACTTTTCAGCGGGATACTGGCTCTTGATGGACTCAACTTTGGTTGCTGTGGGGATTTAAACACCAGGCCAGCCAGCTCAAATTAAATAAAACTTAATTTGACTTGCCTTAAAGTGCGTCTGCATGGGTGTGTACGCATATAGGTTGTGTGTGTGTGTCTGCATTTAATCAGTGAATTTAATCACCCTTAAAGAAAATGGTAATCTGGAGTTATATTCATTTTAATATTTGCACATAGAGAAAGTCAGCTCCCTCCAAGTGTTTGTTTAAACTCTCTAAACGCATGCAAGCACACACACACACACACACAGTCCACCTGTAACCAGGATACACAGGTGTAGCTGGACCGAGGCCTCGTGAGTGTTAAGTAACAGGGGTGTAGGTATCTTTTAGTCCCAGGAGTGAGGGGGTGAGTGAGGGATGGATGGTCGGAGGGAGACGGAGAAGAGGAATGGCACATGGAGAGCTGGGTGGATGGAGAGTGAAGGTAATCTGATCCAGCTGGAGCAACAGGTGTGGGGCGAGTTTACACCCTTGTCTTCTAGCAAGTGCGAAGCTTTCACGAGCACACACACACACAAATGCAACCTCCTCCCGTGCAGATAAAGTCAAGCCAGTGTTGTTGTCGCCACAGAAACCTCTCTGTGACCTCCACGAGTTGGACGGGAGCGCTGGAGAAGAGGAGAATGTCACAGAGGGTTAATGGGAGACACAGCAGTAGGTTGGTTTCCATCTGCGCATCCAGTGAAATCTAAAATATCACTTTCCACTGGCTGAGGTGGAAAAATTAGTGTATTGAGAAAGAGAAGAGAATAATACAGAACAGAAATAGCAGCAGTGTCATAGGGGTATGCAAACCTCATGTCCTTGGTGGGAGTCCAGACGGGGGCCCTTGCTGCATGTCACCCCCTCTCTGTCACCACAGCGGCTCATAAAAACACCACAGGGTCCATGTGAATCACAGGAGACAAAGTCATTCATTACAAAACACAACTGCCATTGTGAGAAGCTGCATTGAAACGTCATGATTTATCAGCATTACTGTTGCTCCATTAATTATACAGTTACATTCACTTG